GCCTTGAGCTTGGTTTCCTCAGAATTCTCCTCCTTGTTTGGATTGGGCTCCGATCCTGCTGCAAAAGGAAGTTTAGATGACTCACCTCTCCCCAGGCAGAGTCCCATAGTCTCTCTCTGATGAGTTTTTGCAGATGAGTCCTTCATGTGAAGTTCTGCCAGCATCACGAGTGGACACATTTCTCAAAGTCCCCTGAGGGCACCAAGCCATTTTCCATCCCCAAATCTCAAAATAAAACCCTACTAAAGACACATGGCTCAGTATCCCTGATTCCAACTCTCCTTCCAGCCTCCATGGGAGCAGCCCAAGACCTTACCTTGCCTTTGTATGTGCTTCTCACTGAAATGGGAGGAGGCCGTCTTGCCTTTTCCTTTGAATGGTTTCTTCTCATCTGGGCCCCTTTCTGTAAGGATCTGTGGGGAAGGGGGCTGGTCAGTGGGGTGCTGGATGGAGGAGCAGTGGAGACCGGGGTCTTCATTTCCCTTTCCCATGTTGACGCTCAAGTGAAAGTACGCCGCTCTTTCACGTCCGAAGGCGGACTGCGGGTTATTCCGCTGGACCTGCCTTTATACGTCCTTCGGCTGGGCGTGGCTGACTCTTATTGGCTGAACAGGTTTCTCCTTCCTGCTGCTTCTTAGAGCCTCAACAGGAAGTTTCTTGCTGTAATTCTACTGGGGGCCTAGACACAGTTAAGGAGAGACTTTTTCAGGATCCTGTCATAGTGACAAGAAAACAAAGAACCGGGAGCACAGAGATCAGAAGAAGATCGGGGAATCATTTCTTCCAATTTTTGTCTCAGTTATATTTTGCACAGAAAGAGAATTTATTATACATAGTGTTAACATTGTATACATAGATATTATACTTTCTTAAATACTTGGAAACAACAAATGTCAAATTATAGTTGATTGTATTAGATCCACACATATATGATGAAATAAAAATGCAAAGAAAAAATAAATACTAAATGAAATGGCCCATCCTACCTTAAAAATGGGAAAGATAATTAGATCAAATGCAATAAAATTGAATTGATTAGATTAGAGCCAATGCTAATCTAATCAGCCCTTGATTCCTGAGGTAGCAAAAAGTCTAGGTGGAAAAACATTTCCCCTTTCTCACCCTGCCTCAGTCATCCTGGGAGCACCACTCTGTTCTGTGGAATTTATTCAGCCTCCCTAGTAAAAATGGACTTGATTCCAAACAGGTAACCCAACTGATTACAAGAAAAACAGCCTAGATTCTGAACATTCAGCTCCTGTCTTCACACAGCAGACACTACCCGAATCCCATCAAAGCCCACATTGTTTCTCAACATCCACCATCAAGACATATTCCAGGGCAGCCTCTCAAAATTGCCTCAGTGAGACAGAACAAGGTGTGGTGGAGCTCTAGGTTCAGAACAGTGGCCTCATCCCTTCCTACTGCAGCAGAGTCTGTCTCTGCTGGTCAGAGCCCTCAGACTACAGAAGGGTTAGTTCATGTCCCAGCAAGTGTTTCCTGGCTGAAACACTTGCTGGGACATGCTCCTGGTTCTTTGTTTTCTTGTCACTATGACAGGATCCTGAAAAAGTCTCTCCTTAACTGTGTCTAGGCCCCCAGTAGAACTACAGCAAGAAACTTCTTGTTGAGGCTCTAAGAAGCGGCAGGAAGGAGAAACCTGTTCAGCCAACAAGAAGTTTTCCTTCTTGTCTCCCCGTCTGCTGAGGAAAGCATGCAGGAATGAGACCTTCTGTGTTAGGGAGTACTCAGTCTCCAGTCCCAGATGACTTGATTGACTGATGAGCTGATTCCCTGAGGAGGAGAAAGAAGCAGGGAAGAGACTGTGTTGG